ATGTTTTTTTAATAAAAATGGTTTGTATTTAAGTTATAATTAAACAGTTTATTAATCAAGTCAAATGTTTTATTTATAAATTCTTGTAATAAAGTAGGTAGATGCTAACTGTAATGTAATAAAAGCCCTAAAGAATATCATAGGTTATACAATATCACATTCAAACTAATGTGTAGCAGTTTTAGTATAATACATACTTGTATGTACTTATAATAATTATAAGTTAATATTATTAGTAATATATAAATAATATTAACTCTAATTCATTATGTATTATAGTATAATATTAACTTATAATAATTATAATAAATTATATGTAATAATAAACACATAATAATTAGTAATATACTTAATTATATACTGGGGGGGTTCTGTAGCTAGTAATGAAGCAAAATAGGTTTGTATGAGCTGCTGTCTATATATACTCTTGTTCTTGTATTTTATTTAATTATAATAATTATAAGTTAATATTATAGGCAATAAAACACATAATGAATTAGTAATATACTTAATTATATACTGCTGCGGTTCTGTAGTTAGTAATGAAGCAAAATAGGTTGGTATGAGCTGCTGTCTATATATACTCTTGTTCATTGGCAGTTTAAGATCATTCCCAATTTCAGTAACAATCCAGAGACTGTTCCCTTCGATAGGGGGTAACAGTGACAAAAATCTACATCATCCCAGGTTTCTAATGGGGATACATTGCCTAAATATTTTTGGTCACTCATTAACACATTCTATATAATATTATGTTTCTTCATCGTCTCATTAATTAAAGTATCTCAATATGTTTAAATTCATCATTAGATAGTAATAAACGTATTTATATAGTTTGATTTCTGTGACAAACAGCTTTACTATATAAATTACAGCGGCCATCTTTTTAACCCTCCGTACTGAGTAGTTAACTTTTTTACTAATGTTAGATATTAATGGAAAATAAAGCATTTTGTGATATTTAATAATAAATTTTTAAATTGGTTGATTATTGAAGTCGATGAGGAATCGTATAATGTACAGTGCATAATTTTATTATTACCGATATTTAAGATCTCACTTGAAATCCGGTGTTTATTACAACCTCGTAACCTTATGATAATAGACTTATCGTTCATGTGGGTTTCACTGACTTATCGCTTGTGTCTGGCCTTCAACTTTCGCCCTTTATATTGTAAAGATCATTGACTTGTAAGGTAAAAAAACTAAAGTAATATATGCTTCAGAAATCTCCTGAATAAATCTCTTTTAATTTTGCAAAACATTTAACATGAAAAATTGTACTTTAACTTCAAATAATTAAAGAAATCCATTAAAAAAGGCTTTATAAACATTAGTTACTGGTACTGTTAAGTTGTAGATGCTCATTATAGTCGCATTATCCATATGTAAGCCAAAATAACTCAATGTATTATGAAATATATAAAACAACAAATAAAGCTCTCCTCGCTCCCTAGTATCCTAACTATCTAGTTCCTGGACAATTCATTTGGTATATAGTAAGCATTTGCATGTAAATAAACTTGCAAATGTGTATAATACGATGTAAAGTATTAACTTGAAGCAAAATAATTCCTGTGCGAGTTATAACTAAACAGTTTTTCAGCTTTTTCTTCATATAAAAAGCACTGACAAATTTTAAGTATTATAATTTCAATGATCGAAACTGATACGCGAATATCAAGGACTGCGAATTTAAATTCTAAAATCTAAGTGGTTTTTAAATTTAAAGTGGCTATTTGAACATGTGTTCTAGAAAATGCGTCACATTTAAAAACATATCTTTTTACTTATCTTTATATTTTAATATGTATACATAAAACTATTTATTTAGAATTTAAAGTTACGAAACTGTCCCGGCGCGCGCCTTTCGGGTGATATAAATCATATATTTAACAGTTGAAGTATGTTTAATGACTTTCAAATGTTTGTATGGCGTAAAAAACTGTAATAACACATACATTACTAACATTATTTTCTTATGGATTTTATTATTACTAGGTATTTATATCTGGACAGGGATCAGTACAGAATTGTATGTCGTATCCGCCTAATGATGGTAACAAGCCAACAATCGCCGGAAAACGGTTCATCCATCAATTGTGACTATTCTCTAGTGACCACCTCATTGCCGCATTGTAGCAGCCTTTAGAAATTATAAATACGGAGCGTACGCGCTCTTTGCCAACTTCCGGCAAGTAAAATAGCGAGATTCCTTAAAAAATATCAGCAACTTGAACACTATTTAAAACTATAATATAGCATAATAATACTACGTTTCGAGAGGAAACGCAATTTCCTATCCAATTGTAATTATACTTTAGACTTCTATATAATCTCAAGCAAAACACAGCGTCATTATAAATCATTTTCTCAACAAGCACGTGACATGCATTTTATTTAATGTACTATTTACCTAGTATTCCAACAACATAAATAGGTTTGAGGAAAATGCAGCGCGTGTGCGCATAAGGGACGACGTCATTTTACGCGGTTTTTATACTAATATGCGTGCAATTTATTCTGTTAAAGTTAATTTTGCATGAGATCTTCCTTAAGGAAGTGATATAAACTTTGCTTCTGATTAAAATTAGTAATGAGCAAGTTCCGCAACCCTAGCTTGGGGTTGTTGATAGGGAAGTTCGCTCTAGCTCTTACTAGCTGGTACATGATTAAGTACAAGTAGGATCTACTGTTCCTTTAATTTCGGAACCGTTGTTTTAACGGAAATCGAACCTGGGTTACAAAACTGAATGCCATGAGCCTTACTACTAAATAAGGTTTATATCTCTTTGTAGTTTCGCAATCGCATCTAAAATGGGCCCATTCACTGGCCTTGGAAAAAATTCAAACTATGAACTAGTAGATTAGATTTTCTTCAAGCCCCCGTTCGAGTCGGGGAATTACCTGTGATTAACCAGAACAGGGAAAGATTTTGCGATAGATATGTACCAATGGAAACAACATGAATATTTGAGATATACATGTATAATATTTAAAAGCTATAGTAGTAGTTAATTTACACGAAAATACCTCATAGACCTTAAGGACCTATAGATTAAGGACTTGATGAAGCTACTAAAGCGGGTTCGAAGGAAACAATATTTCATACTTCCGCATCCGAAAAGTATTAGAGAAAGTTGTTCAGTAAGTTATACTCATATTTTAAGTAAACCCTTGTCCGCCCTATGCTTCTTGTTGCGGGATATTTTATATTGTCTTGTTCAAGTTTGTTTTTAGCAGATACAGTATGAAAATCTGCGCTTCAAACATGAGTGGAATAAAACACCTAACACACCATAGGCACACCGGCACCTGGTACTTTGTAACTTCTAACAGCGATAGGGATTGCGATCCTGACTTCAATCTTGAGTTATTTTATGAGCCTATCGATATAAAGAGAACTAATTCTTTATCATACAAAAACGCAAGAATTCGTATCGCTAAAGATATTAAATATTACTGAGCACCGGCGCAATATATGTGCATAATAATAAAATGTTGAATTTACGCTGGCTTTTGCATTTAATCATATTAGAACTGCGTCAACTAGCTACTACCTCAAATATTTTCTTGATATTGGAGGGGCTTTATTGGCTCAGATATACCATGACTCTATATGACCTTGAGTATAAATCATGAGCAACATTGTAGTGCAATTTACTAGAGCATTGAATGGTGCGCTCAATTCACCAACAATCCCAAACTAATGAACTAATGAGCGACAATCGCAGTCATGTGTTATAAACGTGAGATATTTAGGCGAAATAAATGTTATGTGTCTATCGCATTATAGAACACAATTGCTAGAATATTCTAGAATTGGCCTACAGTTTCTATAACTTACACCTCGTAGTTACGACTGGTTGTTGACGTCAAGCTATAGAACCGGGTTCTATATCTAAAACTAATCATTTATTAATAAAGCGAGACTTAAAATGAAACAGGAAAGCATAGTTTAAAATACCTAAGGGAACAGGTGGAAATCGACTATTTTTTATGTGTAAAGACTATATATATATCCCATTAAATACCTTGTCTATTATTTTATTTTATGTATGTTTCAAGTATGTAAATGGTAGAAAGCATTCGCTTAATTGTTCGGCTTTCATTTTCAAAACGTTGAATAGTGTTGCTATTTCATATAGCTTAGCATTACTAATGAGGCTCCCTTAGCAAACAATAATCATAATTTAAATAATAAATTCCTTGCATTTCCTCGTTAGTTCAAAGTCGATCGCTAGAGACATTGTTAGTAATGCGATGATTATCCTAGTACGTTGAAAGAATTCCTCTTTTTAAAAATGTGTAATAATATGTCAATAAGAGGTTCGATTCTTAGAATACAAAAAAACATTTATGTAAGTTATCGTGGTGTTGCAAAGTAGGAGCAAGGCCCTAGTGAAACTGCTAAAGAAATTGCGTCGTAAACTAATAAAGGCAATCAACTGAACGAGAGCAATGTCCAATTCCAAACAAATTTTAAACACATAATTTTACACAACGATATTACTGCTTAATTCGAATTTTTATGAATATAGGACACTTAAATATTTTAGGAACTCCTTATTCCTAGTACCTTCAATACAACCGCTCTATTTTAACCTGTCAACGCCAAGAGTGTATAGTATCTGTGCTACGAAATTATGGCGGGATGCATCTTGTCTTTTGACTATTTGACACTTGGACAGGAGTGTAGCCGCAAGCGCGCCGTGTCAAAAAAGAATGGCAACATATTTAATGTAAAAACTTCAACAGTACTATACTATATAGTTAAAATAAAAGAAAGTGAATATGTAGGTATGCGATGACGAGATGGTTGTATTCTGTAAACAGGTTTAACATACATTTTAAACCAACTTTAAAAGGCTCTGCAGAAGACAACTTTGGACGTTTTCTGCAGCGTTGTTGTAGTAAATTAAGAGATTTTGCCTATATAAAAGTAGCTGCTATAGGTATACTTAGCAACTATAACCGAAAAAGATAACATTGTAACTCACCTTCGGTGGGATTTGAGACGGCATCATGGATTAGTGACGCCAAACAGCCGGAAAGACCTGCAAATGGTTCGAATAATTAATACATCATTCTAAATAATATTTTTATAGACATTTAACATAACTTAAATTTTGATCACCATAGCATAAATGCAAAGCTCATGTATTTAATTTTATTCGTAAGAAAGTCTTAAACGAATTTTAAACTAAAAATAACGAAGTTGACGCTTAACCAACAACAAATGAAACAGTTTTATTAAACATGACATCATCGTGCATAAGAAATGAATAAATGAATTCTTCGTAAATATGATATGGCAGAAATTGTAGCATTAACACTTGAATTCATTATCTAGAGTACACACACATCTATACAAATATAATTAACTAACAATATCAAACACTCTATGGGCGTGAGTCGAATATAAAAACGGATGTAAATTTTTCAATGCAAAAATTCTACGTTTTGTTTATAGAAAATAAATTTTGTATGGAAAACTACTACTTTAGAAGACTATTAGTTTCTTCACTCCGTAGAATGCGTCTCAACAAATTCGTTGTACATGTTCCAAGTCAAAAACTTAATCAACACAGAACAATTTCAAATCAAGCCGCATTAAAACTTATATTCATCAAGAAGTCAAGCATCACTTACCATGGGTAATGTGATCATGCCGATGCCTGGTGAGCTGTGATAAAGTGTGTTTGCTCTGTTCATACGTCGCGAAGAAACACGCGTGCGCCGGTCCAGCGCCCACCACCACGGCTGACATGCCGCGGATTGGTCTGAAAAAAAGATAGTTCTACATTTGTCTGTGGTCTTTGACACTTATATTGGAGTCTATGACAAGCACCAACGTGCGACTGCAGCTCCTCGAAAGATGCTAAATCGATGTCCATACTTGCAATTTGATATCAATTTCCAATACATGCATTTAATGTGTTTTAATAATTAAACACAATCTTAACATAACTCAAAGACACCTCCATAGGATTGCAATTGCGCAGGAAATTTAAAGCCGATTAGTTCGTTACACCTACTTCCTAAAAAAATTATTTATTGTTTGAAAAAAAAAACTTTCTTTTGTGCTAAAGCATATTGTAGTATTTCCTTTTGCACTTAAAAATATACAAACAAAATATATTTACATTGCTGTTTTTGCTTTTATTTTTGAAACATTAATAGTTCTCAATGCGCGGACTAATTACAAACAAAACACGCAACTGAAAATAAGTATAGGTATATGTTACTGTAAAAGCTCGAACTACGGTTAATCTTAAGATTTAAGTGTAAGTCTTAGGATTTACCGACATGAGTTGGTAAATGTAAGAATTTCTGAAAATACGACGATTTTTTCGAGCTTTTACCATTCGAATTCAGTATATGCTAGGTTTTACCACTGTCAGCTGGTAGATGTTGGTTTTAGGAATAAAACAATGAATAATTCTTAATTATTTACTTTAATGAACTATTAGACAAAACAGGTACATACAGTCAAAACCGGTTATAACGACATTGAAGGGACCGTATAGTTGCCGACGTTATATCCGATAGTCGTTATAAGCAATATCATATACACAAGTACAGTACATATGTATGTACATAGTTATATAATCGTAGTTATCGATCTAGAATAGGTAGGTATGGGTTATAATATGGTATGGTAATATTATAATATGTTAAGGAGTCAAAAAAGAAATAAAAATATTTATTACGAAATAATTAGGTACAAAAGTAATCAGTCATTTTGGTCTGTTTTTTTTAGCCCAGTCTCAAATATTTTTGCATTTTACTTTCATAGTCCTCAATGAGTATCACCATATAAAACTGTTATTAAAGGCAACAAAATTTTTAAGACCTCGAAGTCGGAAATCGTTGTTGGTGAAACTTTCTTGGGAGAAAGTGGTAGGTAATAATATGCCTAAATATTCATTCAATTTATAAATAAGATTTAAAAATCTTGGTTTGTATTGTTTTGTTTTGTGAACAAGAAGTTGGTCTTATAGCCGATGAATATCGATAAAATTTCGTCGTTGTAAGCGATATGTGCTGTATCCGATGTTGTTATAAGCGGTTTGTTTACTGAATAGTTTAATAGATTGACGGGACTATAGAATCTGGTTGTAATAACCGATAGGTGTTGTAAACGATGTGTTATAAGTTTTGCTGGTATTATAAAGATATCATATGATAGTAATAAGTACAAACTTATACCAACTTACTTAAATTATTTCGAAAAAAACACATAACGTTTATCTCTGAATATCTCAATCCTATCATACTAGTACCTAAAAAAATAGTTCACTTATTCAACATGAATGTAGTGGAACTTAGAATAGAAACATAAATGCACTGATGATGTCTAGCTCAACAAAATAATGAATGAATTTTTTGTTTTTCAACATTTACCGTGCCATTAATGTAAATCCTAAGATTTACCAACGGAATGGTGGTAAGAGTTCGAATCGCAAACCTTTTTGGACATTTACCATTAGGAATTGGTAGATCTTAGGTTTTACTGGAATATCTTAGGATTTACTGCAGTTCGAACTTTTACAGTAACATATACATCTCATAATGAAGTAATTTAAATAACATATTAATTTAAAAAAACACATGTTGTTTCTTCCAAAATACGTGTTATATATGTTAACCGTTAACATAAGTCATTAAAGTGTTACGTTAAGATAATTTTAAATTCAAAATAAGTTTGCAATCTTAATGGACATATATTCTGCTGTGATGAGCTAATTAACGTTTATGGTACAAAGGGAATACTGCCGGGAGCTCTTTATGTATTATTGGATTTTGAATCAGTTTTGTGTTTAATTCATGTTCAGAATGTACGTCATTTAAGAATACATGTTTTCGTGCTACCCTACTGCTTTCAAGAGCCTTTTAAAATTGTTGTAATATTTATTTTATCTCTTGTGTCTAATGGCTGTTTACATTTTCGTGTCTATTATTGTATTTCTTCTGTGTTATTCTAGCTGTGGTACTCATAAAACAAAAACTGTGAAACAATTCAAAGACACTTCAATAATTATAACTTGAAAATATATTTATTACATATTTATGTAATGTCTGTCATGTTTCCATAAAATAAATAATTGTATATTTTAATAAGGTCACCAATCGTTTCGTAAACGCATTAAATTTCCTAGCGGTAGCATCGTTTTTTTACATAATTATATTTAAATAATTCTTAATCAAGCGTGAGAGAACATTAGATACACGATTCAGTAAGGCTGACGAACGATCAACTTCGTATAATCCTGTAGGAATGAATATAAATATCGTAAATAGAAAATGCACTATCGGTCATCTATTGTATAATCTAAAACCCCCAGAGTACCTAGAAGTGGAAGCCCATATACCAATGCACTCTAGCGAACGGTCAGAGAAATTAACATTTATTCTAAACTCTAAGTATAATTATTGGTATATTGAAAGTAGATGTCAATAGCTGTTCCAGTTAACTTTGTGCTCTTTTTGTTTGTACAAACTGTATTCCTTTGTTTTTTTGTATAGCTCTTAATATTTCAGATCTATTTTGTAACCCAGCATGTATCTACTGTACATACATATATTCTGTAACGCTGTATGCGTAACAAAATACAATCAATAAATAGAAAGCGCGATAGCTGTCTCCTCTTCTCACCGTAGACGTGGTTAGGTTGAAAAAATAAGTTCACCTAAATTTTAACGTTATTAATTTATCGTGTCTTTGCACGTTCGTCACGCGCTTGGACTAAATAATACTAACACTAAGTGATAAATTTCATATCGCCCGCGTTCTATATTTAAATTATCAGTCATAGATATAATAAACGTCAATTCTATATTAAGGAAAGTTGACAGATTATCTATAAAAAAATTACAAGCAACCAGTCTAGCTGGATCTCAGATTACCTGTTCATGGAAAGCTGTAAAAGTAGATTTAATATACATAGTGTAGTAGTAGTAGATTTAGAAGTTACATAAATGTAACAGCGAAAAAGACCTACCAAACACTAAAACATATTCTCCAAAGCCTAATGAAACTGTAGCAGGAAACAAAAGACGCTAATAAGGATATTAGTATAGTAGTAGTATAAACACGGTAGTAAGGCATCAACAATAAGAGAATGTTTGTGATGCACTCGGATGTTAACGTACCTGAGTAGTAAATAATTGTGTTGTACTCGAAAATATTGCTGGTAATGTGAAAATTATTATTAAAAACTAATAAGGCTCGATTTATGAACCGATTCTATTCATGTTTTGTTGCCCATGATGGGATTTTAGTTTGGAATTTGGTTTTAATAATAATCTAGTAGCGCTACAAGTCTGATATTGTATCCGATTCTTTGATCATTTTCAATCTTATAGACAAGTAGGTGATCAGCTTCCTGTCTGACACATGTCGTCGGTTTCCTAATTTCCTTCACCGTACGAGCGAGTGTTATATGCGTATATAGATAAAAAGTACAAAGTTGCACACCCGAGGATTGAACCTGCTACCTTAGGGATGAGAATCGCACGCTGAAGCTACTAGGCTGACACTGCTGCAATCAAATATTGCAATATATCTTGAAAAAAAAAACTGACTTTGGCAGGAATAGTTCGAATAGAATTCATTTCTACATTATTATTCTTACAAAGCAAATTTTACAGAAATATAACAATCTAGATGGCGGGGCAAGTATAAATTTATAATTCATCTATATGACATAAAAACACGCTATACGCGATACTTTCGTTCTATCGAAACACAGTTCAAGGTTGGCTTAAATCAATACCAATTACATTGTATCGATTTAACAACACATAGTCATTCATGACTTGACTTTATACCAAGAACATATTCCTTAAATCCATGAAGTACCAGAAATAAATTATATTCTAGACTAACAAGAAACGAATGCGAAACAAGTTCATTATTACCATAAAACAAACTTTATTGCTAGTAGCAACGAAGGAACTATACAAATCAAAATAAAAACCACCATTAATGTTTCCTTATAATAATAATAATTTATTTCCCCCATATATGTTATAACATTTGAAACATACAATACGATTACAAAGCTTTTAAAATTGCAATTATGCTTCTATATTATTATATATATATATATATTATAAGTATATAGTACTATAGGAAGTATGACTTAGTAAGTCAGAATTAATAGTGTCAGTAGTCATACATCACTATAGTGATTCCTATAGGAAGATCCAAAATCGGAGCAATGAAGTGGATTGCTTTTTAATTACCACGAAGATGAATCTTATCGTGGATGTAAAAGGTGGCGATTCGTAGACCAAGGCTCACTGTGGGTCGCTGCGCCAGCGGAATTATCAAAATCCCCAAAACCACAAGAAGTATTCTATACGTATATTTTTCAATGTTTTTATTACCTATATAGCTAAAAACAATTGACTTTATCATAACCGCAAACCAGACAAACCGCACAGGCATACAATGTACATACATTGATATTAAAACATACCACGTTACGTATTGATTATGGTAGAATTTATTATTAATCGAACGTTTAAAGTTCGATCTCTACAAATTTGTCATTAATAAATTTATCTCAATTTATATTATTAGATGGCTTCCGTGTTGGTATGAAACCCAAATTTAAACGTGATTTTGCAATTTTTTTTTGGGTACAAAATGAATTAGCAAGGTGTTGCTGCTTGACGTGACAATTAATATTTCAGTACTTTAGATAGCGTTTTTCAACCGCCTTGATGATTTTTATTTTATGACTAAAATTATTAATAAAG